TCTTATATATAGAAAATTCTAAAGACGCCACCAAGAAACTGTTAGAATACATGAGTTCAGCAATGTGACAGCATACAAAATCAAGAGACAAAAATTAGTTGTGTTTCTATACACTAATAATGAAGCATTTGAAAAAGAAATTATTAAAACAATCCTACTTACAATAGCATCAAAAAGAATAAAATAGGAATAAATTTAACAAAGAAAGTAAAAGATCTGTATGTTGAAAACAATAAAACTCTGATGAAAGAAATTGAAGATGGCAAATAAATGGCAAGATATATTGTATTTATGGATTGAAAGAATTATACTGTCAAAATGTCAGTGCTAAGCAAATAGATCTACAGAGTCAATGTAATCCCTATCAAAGTTCCAATGTCATTTTTCACAGAAATAGAAGAAACAATCCTAAAATCTGTATGGAACCACAAAAGACCCTGAATAGCTAAAGCAATCTTGAGCAAGAAGAACAAAGCTGGAGACTTCCTGATTTCAAATTATATTACAAAGCTATAGTAATTGAAATAGTATAGTATTGGTATAAACACGAATACATAGACCAATGGAACAGAATAGCCCAGAAATAAACCCATGCTTATACAGTCAACTGATCTTTGACAAAGGCAGCAAGAGTACCCCATAAAGAAAGGATAGTCTCTTCAACAAATGGTGCTGGGACAGCTGGATATCCATATGCAAAAGAATGAAATTGGAACCTCCTTTTGCACCAGAGATAAAAATCAACTTAAAATGGATTAAAGGCTTAAATGCAACTTCAGAACTATAAAACTGTAAAAACAGTAAAGCTTTAAAACTGTTCGTGTATACATATGTACATACACACACACACACATATATGCACATATGGGAATATTGTTCAGCCTTTAAAAACAAGGAAATCCTTCCCTTTGCAACAACATGAATGAACCTGGAAGGCATTATGTTAAGTGAAATAGGCCAGACATGAAAAGACAAATATCACACAATCTCAACGATATGTGAAATCTGAAAAGTTGAACTCATAGAAACAGAGAGTAGTTAAGAGTGATTACCAGGAGCTGAGGGATGGGGGGAGATGTCGGTCAAAGGGCACAAATTTTCGGTTACAAGATGATAAGTTCTGGAGATCTAATAGTCAGCATGGTAACTACAGTTAATAATATTGTACTGTATTGTATACTTGAAACTTGCTGAGAGTAAGTGTTCTCATCATACACACACGAAAGATGTTAATTAATTCGATTGTGGTAATCATTTCACAATGTACACATATATCAAACCTTCAAGTTCTACACATTAAATGTATATAATTTTTATTTGTCAATCATACCTCAATAAAGCTGAAAAAAATAAGAATAAAAACTCTCAATGCTGTGTCTCTTGTCCAGAGAATCTGATTTGATTGATGTGGGGTCAAATTCAAGCATGAGTGTTTTTAGGGTATGGGGGAGGTGGTAAACATACTCAAAAGTGTTTGTGAAAAAGTGTAATATTCATATAATAACATGCACACATCTTAAGCACCCATTTTAATGAATTTTACAATTCAAAACTTCATTTAAAAACTCCACTCAGCTCAAGATACAGAATGTCATTAGCGCTCCAGAAGCCTCAGCACAGGATTTTTAAAATTAAACTTTAAAACAAAAATTAAAACTCTTCAAATTGCAAGAGTATAACAATGACCTCGGCAAAGTTATTTTTAAAGTTTTTCCTTGTTAATTTTAACTTGTGGACAGAATTGAATGAAATATATGTTTTCTCGCCACACTTTTGGCCATGGAAATCCTTTAGAAAAGCAATGGCATAAGGTTTTCATATTTACATTACTCATTTCCTAACCAGGTCATTATTTCTCAAGGCGTTGTCAACATAAAAGTTGATGTCAGCCTCCGACATTTAATTTTGTTGTGTTGCCATGGTTTTTGCAACTTTTCATGTATTGTTTATGATTCCCAACTTTCCCTCATTCCTGTTATATATGAATTAATTAGCCCTTGTAGCTATAAACAAGAAGTATCTGAAGTGTACTTTGGAAAAAGCAAGGTGGAGATCATGCTTATTCTTTGTGGGTCGGCACTGACTGACCGGTGGCGAGGCAGGAGAGAAAATCTGGAACCATCCAGAGTTCAAGGACAGGGATGTGTGAAAGGCAGAGTCGGAGGAATTGAATCCCTAGTGAGAAAGAAAACTAAAAATAAAAACAGTCATGCCCGGGCTTGGTGGACACATGTAGGCTGCAGAAGCCAGTGCGAGTTATGAGTTTAAGAAGGCCAGCAGGTGAAATTCTGAGTGATATGATGGGAAGGGAGGACCAGGAAAGAGACAGCCATTAACCAGGGAGACAAGGAGCTCCAGAGAGAAAGCTCAGCCATAGCCAAGGAGCAATGCTTTCATCAGAGGTTGAAAAGAGAACAAGTCTGGCCTGAAGGCTGGCTAAGAAGAAATCCAAAAAAAGAAGAGAGAGAGATAGAAAGAAGCACTTTAGCTGCTGTATAAATTTGCCAGGTTGAGCCCTCCGTGAGTAGCTGGCAGAGATGATAAGGGGGGCAGCACTTCTGGCTACCTACCTGGAGCTGCCCTTATTTGAATATGCACAAAGGGTATGAATGGATAGACTAGCAGTGGCTATGAAGCAATGATGGGTAAAGCTGGACTCTGCATTTCCTATTCACCTTCTTAAACATAGTTCCTATAAAACAATTCCTGAGTGGCTTTTCCACTTGAACCAGCAAGCTGAGTGGGGCATGAGTTAGACGCTGCTCTACCGAGGAAGGTTCTGAGGGTGGCAGAGGTCCTAAGATCTCAAATTAAAAAGAAAAATCTTGAATTCCTCGAATGGTGGCAGAAGACAAGCCTCATGATGGATATGGGGACCTGCCTGTATGAGGGCATCTCTGGCCCACAAGTGACCAAAGAGTTTAAAAATGAAAAACCCACCACTTGAGCTTGGTACCCTGAACTCAACGTGAATAACCAATTCCTTATATCTTCCTTTTGTTGTTGTTAAATATGATTTCAGTTTTCATGTAACTTTTCAGGTTCATCAAACGAAAGAGTGTGACATGATTTTGTAACTCAGCATGTTAAAACTCAGTTAAAAAAACAAATTAAATACATCTAAATACTAAAGTCTATGTCTGGTTTTAGCAATGAGTCAGCTTCGCCAAGGTTGTTCCCTAACAGAACTGTGTTTTATAATGAAATATTACCCTGTTCTAAAACAAAAGCAGAGAAATAAAAAAGGAACAAAGAATGAGTTTTTGAAATCTAATTTTTTAGATTAGAGCAGACAGTGAGTTTCTGAAGTCATGTGGTTTTAATTTATACAGTATTCCTATTTTGCAAACTTTAGCCTGTTTGGGCACATGTGCACGTGTGTGTGCATGTACACACACACACACACACACACACACACAACCAGAACACTTCTCTCCCCTTTCCTGATATATTGAATTTGATTTCTGGATTCAGTTGACCTTTCCATTCATTTCACTGTTTGTAGACGAAGCAACTTGCAGCTTTTGGCTTCTGACGGGGAGTATTGCTCAGAAACATGCAACCTGTACAGGTTTCTGAGGCGGCAGGAACAGTAAGAGCTTAGGAGAAACGAAGGAGGGGATATGGGAGTGTGGACAAGTAGAGTCACCTCTAAAGTTCTGCAGTTCAACAGACGATACAACAGGAGTTTTCCTGCTCCCATCCCAGTTCTGAGTTGCCAGAAGAGGTGAGGCTGATATGGAGCTGATCTTTGGACTGAGCCCACAGGAGTTGAGTAAAGGCACTCCTGTGTGTCTGATATGTATGGCAGTTCCAAGAACAACTATAAGTCATGTTGTCTTATATGCTGCTGATGATCTGTGTATCCTCCCACCTCCACTTAGGGTAGGAGAGGCAGAGGGAAGAGGAATCCCCAGCATTGACAGTACAGAGGAAACAAATGAAAGAGATTACTTTAAAAACAGTAAACCGCAATAGTACACTATGATGCTGTAATTATAATAAGAAAAATAAGTGTTGGTCATCATCCATGGTTCGTGACACAGAGCTCCTAATTCCTGGGAATTTCCTGGGTAATAGGAGCATCTTTTGTTCTAATGAGACAACTGTTGGTGGGCTCCTGAGTGGGGCTGGTCACCAGAAAGACCAAGCCATGATCATAAGCTTGGAGCGTTTAGCTCCACCCCCATCCTCCAGGAAGGGGAGAGGGGCTGGGGATTGAGTTAAAAATCAATCATACCTAATCATTCATGCCTATAGAAACCTCTATAAAAATCCCTGAACTATGGAGTTTGGAGAGCTTTTGGGTTGTTGAACACGTGGAGGCACTGGGAGGGTGGTGAGGTGGAGAAGTCATGGAAGCCCCTCACCTCTTCCCATATACCTTGCCCTGTGTTTCTCTTCACCTGGCTGTTCATCTACATCCTTTGCCATATCCTTTGCCATAAACTGGTGAATGAGAGTTGTTTCCCTGAGTTCTGTAAGCCATTCTAGCAAATGATCAAACCTGAGGGTGGGGGGTATAGGGACCTCCCATTTATAGCTATTCAGTCAGAAGTTCCAGAGGCCTGGACTTACAACTGGCCTCTGAAATAGGGGGCAGTCCTGTGGGACTGAGCCCTTAATCTGTGCCATTTGACTCTAACCCCAAGTAACATAGTGTCAGAATTGAGTTAAATTGTAGCACACCCAGCTATTGGAGAATTGGTCAGTGGGAGAAAATGCCCTACACATTTTGGTGACCAGAAATGTTGTGAAAGCATAGTAGAGGGAAACATTTTCCCCCCATTATGTTAATATAACCAGAAGAGCATTTGACACAGTCTTACTTTATACAGATCTCTACACAGTAGGGAAAAACTCCTGGGTACTATGAAAGGGAGAAACATGAGTATGAGTAGTTTTTCTCAAAGTAGTCCTTAGAAGAGAGGAAGAAGATGGGAATGGAGCCTGAAGCAAAATGAAGTGACTGCCCAGCTGGTGCAAGGCCAGCCTCTTACCGTAGTGCGGAATGATGGCCCAGGCCATGGCAGAGGCGTAGATGCCACCGATCATCCAGAACATGCAGAGCCAGCTCAGGTGTTCACCCCGCTTTTCCCGGGCCAGCACTTCAGCAAAGTACGAGAACACAGTGGGTATGGCTCCTCCAATCCTGCCAAGACGTACAGAGAATACATGAAATCAGGGTGTGGACAGCTAATGTGAAATGCAAAGGGCAGAGACAAAGCAAACTCTAACAACACATGCTTTCTCCCTATCCCAGCATATCAACAAACATATTTTCTATTTTTTACAATATAAAAATTATAGTCTCTGTGTTTAATAAAGGTTTATTATCCCTCCAAAAACTTGAACCTGCAATTAAGCTATGTTACCAAGAGGTGGCAGTGGTGTTTGTCTCAGGTGATTTATAGGGCTTAACATGAGATTCTGCTGGCTTTTCAGCTTATGGTTGAATGTTTTACGTGATATTTATAAAAACTTACATTGATTTCCTGTAATCTAGTGAAAATTTTAATTAACTTGTTTTTAAAAAGAGTTGCTGTGCCATGTCCCACTCATGATGTGGGGACTTTGGAAACAGCTTCAAACACCTCTAAGGTACTATCTGCAATCTGTATTTACTCACTGTTACCCACAGCAGCACTAAATTAGGTTAATGGGTTGACAAACACAGGACGAATGGGGTCATTTCCAAGATTAGCTCTAGTCCCAATCCAGTAGATAGTACTGCTAAATAAGTAAACATGAAATGAACACTTGTAGAAAAAAATAAGGAGCTGGTAGTTTAGATATCAATAGAATGGAATATAATGCTTCCTTTCAGTAGAAGCTAGTTATAAGAGCTGCTGACTGAGCTCTGGGGAGATGACAGAAACAGTGACCTCTACCCAGGGTAAGGGTGCTCAAATGAGGATTTATGGAATCAAAATAGTGTTCATTTTTAGGAGAAGGGCCAAGATTTCATCACAATTTCAAATAGGTGTTAGCCCTAAAACTTTAGGAACCACTGCCTCAAAAAGCAAGGTAGTAAAGAAAAATATTACTATCACTCCAAGCAATATGTGAATTTTAAAGCATTTGTTTAAAAAGACACACAACATAAGTACATGGTTGAGATGACACAAAATCTAATACAGTTAGGAAGTATGCACTGATTCATTTTTGTTCAGATTTCTGTGAGGTAAATTGCTATTGACATTTCATGCAAATTTGATGTCAAGGAGTAAAGCATGTTTATTTATTTAGCAATAACTGATTTTCTTAGAGCCTTTGATATGATAAAGAAGTATTCGCAGTGTCCTTAACAAATACAATTTAGGGAAAGGTCATTTTGGCAGCAAACTAGTGTAACCAAATAAACCATAGGATTTACAATGTCATCCTGCATCAACTGGTAGGTGAAAATACAACACCATTTCATGTATTTGCCTCTGTTTAAAGTGATGCCATAGTTACCCATCAGTGGACATGGGAAGACCACTTAGGCTGGTGCTTTCCAATCTATGGGGTGCAAAATTTACTTTAGTAGCTATAAACAGTAAACAGCATTAAAAAAAATGAGATAGTGATAAAATATTTAAGTGCAACCTAAGTAATAAGGATAAGCATAAGTATCATTTTCTGAAATTTATGTTATAAACATATTTGTAATATATAATGTACATATATAAAATATATAATGGGTCGCAGTGTGTTTCTTAGTGGGAGTTCCTGTTCAAAGAGTTTAAAATTCACAGACTTTAGGCATCTATATCAGTTTCTCTGGGCTATAACAGCAGTGGTTCTACCTAAAATTTCTAGAGGTGTGACTCAACCTGTCTTCAGATTTAGCACCATCACACACAGACACAGCCAACCAAGTCCAAGTCCATAACCAAACCCTCAAACAAGAAACAAATGCATGTGGTGGATTGTTTCAGCTCAGAGCTTTCTCTATACTGTACCATATTAGACTCATACACTTCTCTTGTCTGGGATTCTTGAGGCGCTCATACAATATATAGCTAGTTGAATTTTATTTTATTTTATTTTAATTTTTTGATGGAATGCAGATAGTAAAATTGAAAGACATCGTTTAATTAATCTTCTGTGCCATGAGACTCCACCAGGCTGTCTACAAAGACCACTGGGAGCCTGAAGATCACTTGAGCCCAAGAGTTTGAGGCTGTAGTGAGCCTTAAAGGGCCACTGCATTCCAGCCTGGGTGACAGAGTAAGACCCTTTCAAGAAGTAAGCTGCATGCTTGCTTGCTATCTGTGATCATTGAATGCCCTGAAAACAAATACCATATATCAATCATGACAAAAAACAAATGTGCGATGCTTATTGGTACAGTAAGCTAGTTGAATTTTAAAACTCAACAATATTTTGAACAGATTTTAAGTGGTTTCATTATAACACACAATTCTAGTGTGAAATAAAATGTCTGTGTCACAAATAATTTTATGATACTCCTGTTTTTCATCTGATGTGAAGAATCCGTTTCTCTGCACCATAAAATCCCAGCTCCCTACTCTATGGTTTCACTTCTCAAGGCATAAAAATAATCCTAGTTTTTACTGACTTTTCACATCCTCATTAATGTTTCATCAGGACTCTGGACATCCTGTTAATAACTATAACTTAAATTCCGTGAAGGCACAATTGTATGTCAGGATATGCCAGCACCCTCTGGACCAAGATAAATATACTTTGGTGTGGCTATAATTTCTTTCTTTCCTTTTTTATTTATTTATTTTTTTTTGCAGTGTGGCTATAATTTCAAGTGGAAGACTATAGATTTGCCTATTAGTTTTAAACAAATCATTGTTACATAAGAATATACCAACTTGTAGGGGCTTCTAGGCAATCCAGCTGGTTTTTATTCAATGACTCTTTTTCACATGGTTATTTTTTCTGGATGTCTCTCAATATTTGTAAAGCAGGCTGCAAGGAACTGCTAAGGAATACTAAGGGATAAGTGAGACTGAAGAATTAGAGAAGGCTTCTATTTAAATTCTTTGCAAAGTTATTTAGATTCAGCAATATATAAAACAATCCAAGCATGCACATTTCTTATTGTGGGCTGATCATCTACTTTGGGGAAAAAAATTACTCCTTGTACTACTGTGACGTCCTTTAAGCAGAGAAAAAACTATTACTATTACTAGTGTTTCACACCCCATATACCCCTTGAAGGTGGGGACTATATCATATTCATTCTTGAGTCCCCATTAACTGGCCCAGGGGACATGTGCTAAGTGTTCACGCAAAATAACTGTATTTCCCAGACTCTTCAATGTTGTAGTTGACATACCAAGTCTCCTGGAGTAATCTGTTCTGATGATTTAAGTATCTCCAGTGAATAGAAAGATACACCTCACTTTGTGAACCAATATGACCATAATAGAAGTTGAGGGTTCTGGACTGAAAGTTTTGACAGCAATGGAGCCCGCAAAGAGTTCCCAAGTTGCTCTATGCCTTAGTTGCTGTGGTCACCTCTTGACCAAATGATCTGATGGTCCTTGTCATGGAGAGAGCTCCCTTAGAACTGCTCAGAGGACACTGGGCAATCCCACTGGGCATTCCAGGAGCTTCTGTAACACCTGTGAGCATTTCAGAAAAAGGTTGCAGATGCTATAATGATCATCAGAAAAATATTTAGGGAAGAGATAAAGCAAGAGCTTTCAGGTCTTACAACATAATTTGATTCCTCTGATAAATTTTGAAGATGAGAAAAATCTGCCACTCCCCAGCCCCCAAATCTTATAAATTAAAAAGAAGTTTCCCATTATGATTCTACCTCAATATTGCATGTGAGGGGTTAAAAATTTCCTTATTTGTTGTTTTTTGTTTGTTTATTACACTGAGATACAATTTCTGAAAATATATGAAGAAATAAAAAAATTAAATGAAAGTCCTTAAATTCTCACATATCAGTAGGTCTTAAATAGAGTTGACTTTGCCCCCTCTTTGCTCTTTGCAGATGTCTGGCAACTTCTGGAGACCTTTAAGTTGTCATACCTTGGCGGGTGCTGCTGGCATCTAGAGGGTAGAGGCCAGGGATGCTGCTAAACACCCTACAACTCACAGAACAGCTCCTTACAAAAAAGAACTATCCAGTCCAAAATATTAATAGCGCTAGGGTTCAGAAACTTTTGCAGTGGGGGGCTAATGTGGCAAATATAATTGGTTTTATATAAAAGTCTATAAAATAAGACACAAATATCTTTTACATTAACTGATGGGTAACACACCCTTAAATCCAGTTAACATGGAGAGTTTAGCGTTCATTATATAATGATCAGTTAGTTACTGTTGAAATCTGCTCAAGTTCTTTTTTTTCAAGTTATACTTAATGGAATGTTTACATAAATGAAGCAATGAGATCAGAGCGGCTTATAAAGAATTTTTCTCAGTATTGGATATTAAGTCTATTTTATTATCTGTCAAAAATGTCAAACCATAATTATCCTCGGTAATAAGAGGCAAAGAAGGAATAACAATGGAAATTCACACTCTACATAGGTGTGAGATTAGCCAGATTCAAAATAACTTAATTCATACAAATGAAATAGAATGCTAATATTTGAAATTTCAGTTGGAGTTATTCCTTAAGTAATATTAGTTTTCGGTTTTTGCAACTTTAATTATCCAAATATAAAGAAACTAAAATATTCTATATTAAACACATTCCTAGAATGAATCAGAACCTCCCCAATACACAGGCAAGCAGACCCAGACACACACACACCATACACACACACACACACATGCACAATACCTCAATAGGTCTGCACACGACTCAATACTAGGCATCTGGTAAATATCATGAAACATATTCATTTATTTTCCTCAATAATCTAAGGCAAATTCACAAGTGGTATATTGTGTAAAGCAAAGAATGTGTTAGCATTGCAGACAAAATTTCTCCTCTGTTGGGAAATGTGCGGCACACAAGTTAAATCAGTTTAGCACAGCAGGATGACAGAGTATGCCAAGTCTGCCTCTCTGCACAAACCTCACTGGGAAACTGGAAAGCCTGACTGTCTTAACCCTGTGAATTTCACAGCCATGCCTCATATTACTCCAGTTCAGATGGCAACCCAGTGGGGATGATGTTTGTTCCCAGGCTTCATCACACTGATGTACGCACGCAGGCTGTTTCAG